CTACAGTAAATGTGCACTAAAAAGAAATACATATACATCTATCAGAAACTGATTTGTTCCTTTTATTACTGCTGGCCATTTATTAAGAAAGGGAGATGGTTCTAGTTTAATTAACCCAGTTGAGTGTAGCAGATGGGGCAGAATGTCTTGCAGCGATAAGACAATTCAGAAATGGCACCAGATGTTGAAAGCTGTCCCTGGTGGTGTTTGAGTGCAGCCCAGATGTTCCAGTCCCACCTGGCTAGTTTCTAAGCACTGCAGGCTAAGCAGCTGTGATGTAACCTATATAATGTTCACATAACACTAAAAGCACCATAATTGAACTGCTGCACTAGACTTCTAAGGTTGTGACTCTTTAGGAGGTGAAATCTTTAAGGACAGACAAAAGTAAGGACAGCTACTTAGGGCTTTAGATTTTTGACTATTTTCTTGATAATTGAATTGGAGAAAATGAAATATTAAAACTTGAAATACTGCTCTAATTGTAGATAAAAGTAAATACTTTTATCCATGTAGTGTTTATAAATAAAACTTGGATAACAACGTGATATGTACAGATAGATTGATTTGCAGACCTAATTGGGATCTTGTCACTCTTTAAAAATACTAATTTAAGGGGCTGGGGATATAGCTCAGTTGGTAGAGTGCTTGCCTCACATGTACAAAACCCTGGGCTCAATCCCCAGCACTCCCAAAATTAAGAATAAACAAACAAACAAAAATACCAATTTAGAAGTAGTAGCAAAAAACGGTTATTTTTCCATACATTAAAAAAATACAAGTATTTACACTTGGGCCCTAAGCAACTCAGCAAGACTCTGTCTCAAAATAAAAAGAGAACAGGGTGGGGATTTGGCTCACTGGTTGAGTTCCCTTGGGTTCAATCTAGTACCCCCCCCCCAAAAAAAGTATTTACTCTTTTATGGAGTAAACAATGGGGAAAAATACTCTACTAAGATTATTACATTGGTTTTTCTCCCTGTATCTGTTTAAGTTAATTTTTTTAAACAAATCAACTTAGAGCTTTTCCCCTTTTAATGTAAAAACTTTTTGAACATATGGAAAATTTCACTATTTTCTTACTGATTCTTTTGTTTATTAAATGCTACTTGTTCTGTACCATTTGAAAGAAAGTTGCAAACACCGTAACATTTTGCCCCTAAAATACTTCACTTTATTTCACCATGCAAGGACATTCTTCTTTATAATAATAATATGATTATACCTATAGCATTAAAACAACAGTGCTGTTTGAT